CATAAGCACCTTTGGCATTCATTCTTGAGCACACTCAAATATCAGCTTAGTTAGCTCTTGTTTTAGAAGCTTTGCCCTGTTCTGTAAAAACAAAACAGTTAAAAAAGCTTTACCTTCGTTCTCCTTCTCGCATTTAATACAGACATGTTTGTCAGCAGATATCACCGTGGCATATACAACTCGAATGACCGATGAGACTATTGCTATTACAATAAAGCTTTCCACAAGAGCCAAAACGAGGCTTGTAGGGGTGCACAAGCACATCGAAATGAGATTGGCGCTTTCGGGGCTTGTTTATATTATGCGTAAAAACAGGACGATCGGCGACCAGCTGATCGCAATATAACACCAAGGATACCGATGTTTCGATACATAGAACGCAGGATAAAGACCTCAATCGTCCCTTGTATGCTGTAGTTGTCATACTTTTTTATCCAACCGCTTTTTAGCACAATTAACTAGAACCGAAGAGTTCGCAACACCTTTTAATGCGAGGGCCTGAATGGTTACATCATCTAAGCAACGTCAACGAAAATGTTTGTAGCCGCAGACTGATAAGTTTAGTCCTAGATAAAGTACTATCGGAAACAATATGAGCGTGAACGCGCCTCCGCTTGTCGCCACGGAGGCGCGTTCGCGCTCATGTTGTTTCCGATAGTACGCGTCATAGTTTCAACGCGCAAACATTGTTGATATGTACCTTTCTTTGGACCTGCGTACATTCGGTTCAACTTGATGACAGCTGCGCCAGCGTGAGAGCTCACGTCGAACACTTGCACACATATCTTGACCATGGCAAGATTTCTTGCCTTCGATTGGCTTGAAGACTTCATCTGTAGCATCACGGTAGGTCTTGGTTGAAACGTTGATCGTCTCGCACGCGGCAACAAACAGAGAACGACACGCTTTGTTTAATTTATACGCTACCGGTCTACGGGCGTCGCAAATCTATCCCCCTTTTGTCCGCCATGTTGGATCGATCGGAGCGCCCCCTATATTCGCTGAAACTCCTCAATTGCGCGTGCCACTCGCTTCCCTGCCCCGGTTTCCTGGTTTGGAAGTTGTGTGCCGCAAACAGTTTGAGGAGCGGGGTCTCGTTTACCTGGTGTATAAGACGCTGGGTTAGGCCGATACCGACGTGTTTCCGTACCTTTTATAAGCGTGCTCTTTGCTTTTACATTTATAATTAGGTTACAAATCCTGAAAGCTACCGGCGGAGGCAATTCTGCCGATGAACCTCCCTGACGATCCACACGTCACAAGGCAATCGTGTGGGGGTCGGTGAATCGGCGGCGTAAGTGTTTTAGACGCTGTAGTTCTGTCCCTTACATGTTCATGATTTAAGAAAATATTACATCCCGCTTTGCAGACATCTCAAATGGCATTTATATCAAAGGTCTTTGGGCGGTCGGCAAATTAGCTTGCAACGCCGACTGCGCGTGCCACTCTTCATGCGCTGGTTCGCAGATGCTTTAAAGGCTCTGGATATGAAGACCTTTGAAGCGCTCGTGGTATAGGGTGGTTTTACAGAAAAATAGCTTCGTGAAATAATTACATAATTCGTACACGTATGCAGATATGTTTTATTCTTTAGAATATGCACGATTACTGGAAATTAGTTTGTATGGTAGCAGAAGAAACGGCCGGCCGCTAGTTGCCTGCATCAAGCGCAACAATATTACCGCAATTTGGAATGTTTGTACTTTTTCCTGACATTCTTCCTTTATTCCAGCCTTGTGTATTCGAAAAGTACGCAATTTAGTTTGAATTTTCATTTCGAATACAAATAGACACAGCTGCAGGTGCCCAAAAGCTTCCTCAGCCTAAAAACTCCGCACAGCTGGACTCTGACAACAGAGGAAAACAGGAGGAACAGCAAGGATTCGAACGGCTGTCCAGTTGTAGATGCTGCACTAGTAGCCGAGAATGTGAAACCTGTGAAGGGTGACAGTTTACGTGAGAAAAGCTTCTGATATTTTAGCTTTAAGACATTTTGATTTAAATGAAATCTAAACATTAGAGTATAAGGGACTAATAACGGGCTAGACACCTTCGATTACATTTGTCGTGACATACTTGAGGGTTGATATAAGGAAGTCCTCAGGCAGCACCAGTGGAGTCCATTGAAATACTACCCGAATCCAGGAAAGGTCAAATGGCGAGCAATGTATATAAATAAATGTTCCTTCTTTCTTTACTTTGCCCCTGTACCTGGGTTGTCTCACTTGTTATTCTTTCTATATAGCCCAGACAATATTTAACATGTTGCTCGAACAGCAAGCAGCTTTTCTGCTTCGGCATTAAAACAAAAAAACAAAAAAATAAACAAAGATGCAAAAAAAAAATAGTATACATAACCTGCCAATTCATTCACACCATCAGCAGCGTTCATTGTGTTAGATGTAAATCTATAATGACACTCCCGCGATTGTGGCCATATTTCTTCATTTCCATATACCAGCTGCGATTCTTGTGTTGCCTGCCCTGTCAACCATGCCTGAAATGTTGGTTGAAGTTTGGCCTGCAGCTACAGGCCGTGCCTCAATAAAGCCCCATACGAAAATTTACACCTCCTACAAAAAAACGCAAAAAAACGAAAAAAGAAAACAACTCGAGCGCGCCAACAGTTAACGTTGTCACAGCCTCCACATAGCGAATCAGGTGAGGCGGGAAAAAAGGTTGAACTCACCGTGATGTCACCAAGGTTCGCCGTAAGGAGACGCCACGCAGACTTCTCGGGGCTAGTATGCTCGCTGCTAACTTAAAAAAAGGTTGGGTGTGGTGAATGCCGGGAATCTTCTTAGCACTTACTCCTTAAGCGGATCTTGTTAAGCTTAAGTGATAATAGCGAAGCTTAATACTTAAGCTTAACAACGAATCTTGAATTAACAAGGGCGAACGTGATCTGCCACGCTCTAAATTCTTCTGCAAGGTTGTTGACGCCGTGTGAAAGAGAAGGGGACAGGCTTAGCATCTCTAAACAGCTTGATACGCAATAAACCCCAAATTATTTTCTGCTGCTAGGATTCAGTGTTTTAAAGGCAAAAGGCATTCATGGTGAATTAGGTATTTTATTTATTTCTGAAGAAATTACAGCACAAATGGGCTATTTTTAGTTTTCTTGTTTATTATAGAAAACAACTTTATTGCACAATGCCTCGTGATCGTTTTAGAGCGCAGCACTTAGGCGCCCGTTTCCGGCTTGAGCGGCGTCGGCGTCAGCGTAACCGTGCGGTGCATGATGGGTAAAGTTTACCGCTAAACTTAGCGAAAAATTTTCTCCGCTAAATTTAGCGGAAAAATTTCGCCGCCATATTTTGCAGAAAAAGTTCCCGGCTAAATCTAGTGGAAAATTTTCTCCGTTAAATTTAGCAGAAAATTGTCCCCGCTAAATTTAGCGGAAAAATTTTTCCCGTTAGATCTAGCGGAAAATTTCCCCCTTAAATTTAGCGGGGAATTTTTTCCGCTAAATTTAGCGGGAAATATTCCCCGCTAAATTTAGCCGAAAATTTTTCCCCGCTAAATTGAGCGGAAAATTTTCCCCTTAAATTTAGCAGAAAATTTTCCCCGCTAAATTTAGCGGAAAAAATTCCCCGCTAGACCTAGCGAAAAAATTTTCCCGCTAAATTTAGCGGAAAATTTTCCCCGACAAATTTACCGGAAAAATTTTTTTCTAAATGAGAGGCGAGGAAAAGAAGAGGAGGGGCTGTTATGTTGTATTACGCGCGTTTCAGCACGTATGACGCGCGCCCTTTTTTTCTTTTGATCGCTCCTCTTCTGCCTACCCTTTCCCTCTCTGATAATATGCTATAAGTTACGCATGCCTGCCGGCCGCGCGTTCTTCTTCTCGCTCGCTCCGTCATGGAATAAAGTCATTCCACCTCGCCACTCGCCGAGCTGCTCTCGTCAATCCTGTTCGCACACTCGCACGAACACTTCACGGTGGCGACGAGGACACCGAACCTGCCTTGGGATCATGACTTCTGAAGATGAACCAAGAGGTGGCCAGCTAACCAACCAAGACAGCGCCGAAAGCACCGAAAGCGTCGTCGACGCCGAGGCCATGACCACCAGTTTCGGGCAAGTGGAACATTTTGATGAGTCTACTAGTGACTGGCTCTCCTACGAAGAGCGCGTGTCGTCTTTTCTACGAACCAACAAAGTTCTGGCAGAACTGCAAGTAGACGCCTTCGTGAGTTTGATCGGACCGAAAACTTACGCCCTTCTCAAGTCTTTGACTGTTCGGGAAACGCCGTCGTCAATGTCCTTTGAAGAATTGCGGCAACTACTGCGCAACCATTTATCACCCAAGCCGTCCGTAATTGGCGAGAGAGCGAAATTTCACCGACGGTCGCAAACGGAAGATGAATCCATTTCAGAGTTCGTGGCCTAGATACGACGACTCGCACAAACGTGCGAATTTGGAAACTTTCTTGATGAGTCACTCCGAGACCGCTTTGTCTGCGGCCTCCGACGAGTAAATATCCATTGTAAGGAGTGAGAGAGTGCAGGCGAGCTGGTAATCAATCGACATCTTGTAAACCCTGAGATGGGGAACGATAAAAAAAACGGACGAACACAACAAAATCTTAAAAAGAGATTTTGTTGTGTTCGTCCGTTTTTTTATCGTTCCCCATCTCAGGGTTTACAAGATGTAAATATCCAGCGGCACTTGTTCAGTGAAGATAAGCACCTCACATTCCAAAAAGCCGTCGAACGTGCTTTGTCACTCGAGGCATCTGTCAAGAACGCATCAGCGACCCACTCAAGGTCAGACAGCGCCGCCAAACTGAACAAGCTGCGCAGCTCGGGGCCCAAGACAAGGGTGATAACGGCGCATTGCTCTCGCTGCGGTTCACCCAAACACAAAGCCACGACGTGTCCACACGCACAAGCGACGTGTTACAAGTGTCACCGTCAGGGGCGCATACAGAGAGCGTGCAAACCAAAGGCAAGGTCGCCCAAGAAACGTTTTCCAGTCAGGTCCTTAGAAACCCAAGATGAGTTCCCTCTCAACGCCGTCAAAGCATCTGCTCGGTCTTCGCCCATCATGGTTGAAGTTCAAGTTCAAGGCACTCCGTTGTCGATGGAACTGGACACGGGGGCAGCCGTATCGCAATTTGGAGGCTGTGTTGCAACGCTTATCTGAGAAAGGCGTCAAAGTAAAACAGTCGATGTGTGAATTTTTCAAGGATGAGCTGCAGTACTTAGAGCATACCGTAAGCCGAGACGGCGTTCAGCCAGCCACTGATAAGGTCGAAGCTATCATGAAAGCGCCGAGGCCAGCTGACACTCACCAGTTGAAGTTGTTGCTGGGACTAGTGAATTACTACGGAAAATGTATCCCTAACCTTGCCAGCGTGGTTGCACCTCTCAACCGACTTTTGCGCGGCGACGTGCGCTGGTCATGGAGCGACAAATGTGAATTTGCGTTCCAGGAATTGAAGAGGCTGCTGTCCTCTCCGCCGGTGCTGACTCATTACGATCCTGGAGCACCGTTGCAGCTGTCCGGCGACGCCTCAGCGTACGGCGTCGGCGCGGTCCTGTCTCACGTCGCTCCAGATGGGCAGTGTCGTCCGATTGCTTACGCGTCACGGGCTTTGACTAAAGCGAAAGAAGGCTACAGCCAAATAGAAAAGGAAGCCTTAGCACTGGTATTCGGTGTAACACGATTTCATTACTACCTCTATGAGCGCAGTTTTGTTCTTGTAACGGACCATAAGCCCTTGCAGACCATCCTGGGACCGAAGACCCCTACCCTAGCAGCAGCCAGACAACAGCGCTGGGCAGTTATCCTTTCCGCGTACACGTTTACGCTAAAGTACAAGTCATCAAAGGAAGATGCCGACTCAGATTGCTTATCACGCCTGCCTCTTCAAGGTCAAAACGGCGATAGCAAAGAGCCGTCAGAAGAATGTTTCTTCTTACTACGCTTCAGTACGCTACCGGTTAACCACCGTGACGTGGCTCGCGAGACGAACAGGAACCCGGTGCTGAAGCAGATCGTGCAGTACGTGGCGAACGGTTGGCCGAATCGCGCGCCGAGTGACTATCTAAAGCCTTTTTTCTACAGGGGCTGCAAGTTCTTATTGCAGCAAGGGTGCCTAATGCTTGGTACCCGTATCGTCATTCCGCGACGTTTCCAGTCCTTCATGCTCGAGGAGTTGCACCAAGGACACCCCGGAGTTGTCAGGACAAAGGAGCTGGCACGAAGCTACGTGTGGTGGCCGACCATGGATCAGGACATCAAGCGACAGGTAGGCGCATGCCAGCCTTGCCAGCTGCAGCGTAAATTGCCTTGCCCTGCTCCGCTACACCCGTGGGCTTGGCCCACTTGTCCCTGGGAACGAGTCCACGTGGATTTTTAGGGACCGTATAGAGGTGTCATGCTGTTTGTTGTTGTGGATGCTCGCTCGAAATGGCCGGAAGTCTTCACATTGAAGCAGATCGACTACCGAACGAACCATAAACTCTTTGCACGAACTATTTTGTCGTTTTGGGTTCCCAGAAACGCTCGTGTCAGATAATGGACCACAATTCACGTCTGATGAATTTGCAAGCTACATGCGCAGGATCGGTACTCGTCATATTCGCACGGCACCGTACCATCCAAGTAGTAATGGCCAAGCGGAACATTTTGTCCAGTTTTTGACGGTCGCACTGCGCAAGGATCCAGCCCTCCCAGTGAACGAGGCACTGGCGGACTTTCTTTTGGCTTACCGGAACACTCCGCGCACCACAACCGGGGAAGCGCCAGCCGTCGTATTGCTTGGCAGGCGTCTCAGCACACGGCTAGATGTTGTCAAGCCTTCAACCGGGGAAACTGTTTCTGCAAGGCAGTTTACCCAGACGCTAAAACGGCGTTCAAATGGTCGGCTCGGTAAACGGTTCTCGGTAGGCGACAGTGTGCGGGTCCGAAATTTTCGACGTGGTGACAGGTGGTTTAGAGCCACGATTTTAGCCCAAACCGGGCCGGTATCCTACAAGTTGTGTGTAACCACTCTGCGAGGTGTGTTTCAGTGGGTGCGACACAAGGACCACATTGTGCGGGTGCCACCGGAAAAGGACATCTCCACGCCACTGGGACCTTTCAGAGAATCCGAGGTACCAGAGGCCTGCCAGACTCCAGCACCACAAGAAGTGGCTCCTGCTTGACCACCACCAACGGAACCAGCTCAGCAAGAGGAGCGGCGATACCCTTCTTGCCAACGAAGACCACCGGACCGCTACGCCCCCTAGCCTATTGTTGAGTGTAGAACAAGCTTATTTAGGCCCGAGGAGTGTTATGTGTTATTACGCGCGTTTCAGCACGTATGACGCGCCCCCTTTTTTTTCTTTTGATCGCTCCTCCTCTGCCTACCCTTTCCCTCTCTGATAACATGCTATAAGTTACGCATGCCTGCCGGCCGCGCGTTCTTGTTCTCGCTCGCTCCGTCATGGAATAGTCATTCCACCTCACCACTCGCCGAGCTGCTCTCGTCAATCCTGTTCGTCCACTCGCACGAACACTACAGGGGCAAAGCCCCCTCCCCCCACTTTTAGAGGGCAGCTCTTAGGCGCCCGTTTCCGGCTTCAGCGCCGTCGCCGTCGGCGTAACCAAGGTCATCCCAAGGTCACGTGACCCCCAAGGTCACCCCAAGGTCACGTGACCCCTCCAGGTCACGTGACCCCCACGTGACCTCCTGAAGGTCACTTCCAGGTCACGTGGTCCCCTCCAAGTCACGTGACCCCCCAAGGTCACGTGACCCCCCAAGGTGACCCCCACGTGACACCCCAAGGTCACCCCAAGGTCACGGTACCCCCCTGGTCACGCCTCCTCGAGGTCACGTGATCCCCCTCCCTGAAGTCACGTGACAACCCCCCTCGAGGTCACGTGAACCCCCGGAGCATATTAACGAATGAGGGGAGGAGGAGGAAAAAGGAGAAGGGGTGTACACTCCCCTCAGTACCCTTTACTCCTCCTCCTCAAGAGCTGCGCTCCAATTCGGCGTTACAGGGAGCTGTAAACGGCTTAGAGCACTGCACGGGCCCGGGCCAGCCCGAAAGCCCGAGCCCGGCCCGGCCCGCGGGCCGGGTAGCACGTATTTTCTCGGGCCCGGGCCGGGCTCGGGCTTGAACAAAAAGTTCTCGGGCCGCGCCGGCCCGGGCCGGCCCGGGCCGGCCCGGGCCGTGCCTGGGCAATCTTGTGCCGTAAATCATAAATTGTTGTTGATAGCAAGAAGTTTGCTCATTAATCTTTTAGGTTGATTAAATACAAAAAAAGCGAAGTGCAAATTCACTAAAGCGTCGTTAAAAATAATAACTAAAAGACGTCTTGAAGCTAGAAAGCCTTCAAGCTTTTTCCATGTGAGCGAGGGTTCAGTGTTATAAATTGTAAACAAAATAAAGTCCCAGTCATATGCTTTTAAACCTGTCTGATTCATCGCTCTCAAAAATATCGAGTTCACTATTAGGAAGGTTTAGAAAAACGTACGCAAGCGCTTTGGGTACCGTAAAAATAGCGTTGCGATGTAAAACCTATGGCGATGCTAATTTTAGCTTGCCCAAAGTGCTTGAGTACGTTGTTCTAAGACTCCCTTATTGCACAGAGCGCGACACTATATTAGCGCGAACAAGCGATCGTCGTGTTTTTATGTTTATCTCATAGAATCAAAACGCTGTTTTCAAAACTATTAGTGTCTTTAGAAGTGCTCATCTGGGCCACAGACCTAAGCGGTATACTTTGGTGCCTACTAACACCATTTCGAAGTAAAAGTCGAAAAAAGAGCCAACGTCGTGTTCGCGGTATCAGTGTCGCGCAGTGTACATAGTCTGTTCCGCGCTTGCACGTTTTGAAAACCATCTTAAAAAAAAAAAAAAAAAAGTTTTAAGGGGTTAAGTAGGAATATATTAAACTTAAGCTTGCCTGAAAGGGTTGTATATTTTAAGAACTCGTTGACATGTAAAGCTACATCAGAACATATTCTTAAACAGAAAAGGTGCGCAGACCAGGCTTAGAACGATGGCGACTTTTTGCGAAGAGGTTGCGATGTACAGGGCCTTATAAAAGTAGGTTGAAACGGGACGTGTTGAAACGCAAAGGGTGTTTCGGAAACTGGTTCAAATAAGAAGGATGTTTAGGGAATGGGTCGAAACAGCACAAATTCAAACGAGAAGGGCGTTTAGGGAACTGGTCGAAACGGGACGGGCTCATATGGGAAGGGCGTTTAAAGAATGGGTCGAAACAGGACGAGGTTCAATTGGGGAGCTCGTTTCGGAAACGGGTCGAAACGGGACGGGTTCAAAACGGAATGGGTTGTTTCGGGCTACAGCCATCGGGCCGGGTCGGGCGGGGCCTAGAAATTAAAAATTCTGTCGGGCTCGGGCCGGGCCCGGGTCGTGTCTCTACCGGGCCGGGTCGGGCCGGGCCTAGAAATTCCGGCCCGTGCAGTGCTCTAAACCGGCTTTCACTTTTTTCCTCCTCCTCCTCAAGAGCTGGGCTCTAATTCGGCGTTACAGGGAGTTGTGAACGGCTTGCATTTTTTTCCAGTACTAATCGGTTATTTGTCTTTAATTATCCCAGGGCAACCAACAACCAGAAGTAATGCGACCCATAACCTGTGACTTTCAACTGGCACAACGTGCCAGTTGAAAGTCACAGGACTTTCAACTGGCACAGCGTAAGCAACGTAAATATCAACGGAGGTGTTTCTTGGAAGAGAACTGAAGTTAGTTCAATCTAAACAATAATTAATGACAATAACCTTTTAAGTCGTAAAAACTGGTCAACGAAAGTCGCGTTTTTTTAATAAAAAGGATTAAAAATAGTTTAACGTGCAAGACAATCTGCTTTATTATTGTAGCCCCTATATATATAAAAACACAATAATTATCTAACAGTAGCAGAATGGAAAACTTGTCTATAAACGGTGAAATGTGTTAACATAAACTTTAAAAGGGTGATTTCAGAGAAGTTCGACCAAAGGGTGGCTGGTCAACATTTTGAAACCAACTGATGTTTTTATATGCAATTGTCTAGTGTCTGGTATAAACGAATCCACACTTAGTTTTGACCAGAAAAAAAATTTAGGGAGGGGAAAAATTTGTGAGTGGTGAAGAGGTGGACAGTTGCATTAACGCGCACTGATGGAGGGTGCACGTTTGAAAGGGAATATCTGGAATGATAAACTTAGGAAAATTTTCATACTTTTTGGAAACAGACTATGTGTACTGTTTGTTTGTAATATATAGTAATAATATTTATTTCAATTATATTTCTTTTTCTAAATATTACCAAACATGCCTGCTCGAACAACAATTGGCAAAATGTGGAGGCCTATATCTCAATAAACACTTTAATCACCATCATTAACTTTTAAGATAGTATTATACTTATACATGGCTATTATTTGAAAAATATATTAGGTATCTGAGTAATACGATAGCAATGGTATATTTAAGCAAACATGGGGAAAAAAGCAAACAACAAAAAATTCCGATGCGAATAAAAAACACCACATGCAATTTTTAAAATTTTTATTTTGGTACCCTGTCATACTCTATTTCGGCATTTATTTCTAACAAAAACATGTTGCAATAGTTTATTGAGAGAGAAGACATAACTCCACAAAGTAGGGTCTTTTTCCAAAACCTACACTTAGCAGTGCTGTATACGAAAAATGACTCTGAGTTCCTGCTTCAGGAAACTTACTCACATTTTTTATCTATTTTTATTCAGATGAAGTCACTGACAGCTAAAGCAATCGGTCACACAGTTAAAGTGAGGAGAAACTATATACAGCATTTTATATACCGCGTACAAAGAGCTAACAAATTAGAAAGTTGTGATTCGAGAAAAGATGATGCAGCGTGAACTTTTACTTTCCGGTATATTTTCGATTTAGTGCAACATAAATAACTTCACTTCCACAGACAAAAATAAAAATAGAATACTAAAATTGTTCAGGAAAGCTACGTGCTCCCAAGGACAAACCATTTTATGTGAGAGTGCTACCGCGCCGGATTCTAAGAGTTTCAAGCCGAGATCTTCTATCCTGCGCGAGGATAACGTTTCGTGCTTTTCATATGGTAATCAGTTATAAATTGCTAGCTATTACCAAGTAAAAAACTAGGTGAAATACCCCGCGAAGAAAACTGTGATAAATAAGATGTCCCTGCATTAAAAAGTAGCAATCCTAAAGGAATCAAATTCGGCACTTTATGCTAAGGTTTACCTCGATGTACCCATTTATTAAAGTTTCTTCTAACCAGATCCGACTGTCCATGCTACATATATGTCGCAGGTTCCTTCTGTTGGTGACTTGCACAGCCGCCACGCGTGCCAAGATTGAATTCCAGGAAAGGCGCGCACCGTCAGCCACTTTTTTATTTTTTTGTTGACGATACCGAACAACCTCATTTTCGTCCAGATACACCAGATGCACCCAGTTTCTCGAGTAGAACGCTCACCATTTTCCTGGCCGTCTGAATTGCGTTTATTCAACGTTCTCTCAGGTTGTTCAGCGTATCCTGGTGCTTCACGAGTCCGCCAACTCCGTCGCATGCATTTTCCGATGTCCAGATGCAGAAAAAAACCACTGGGCTTGTGGGAAATCATTTTGTGCAAACTAGTGTAGCTGGAAGCGATTTTTAGAATGACTGACGGCCCCATCACTTACGTACGTCACGTAAGAGTACACCGTAACGTTGTCTTCAACACACTCTCATTTTTCCTAGAGCCAAGCACGGGTGAGCGGCGGCGTCACACAGGTCCTCACTGATGATAGCAAAGTTGTTTTTAGATTTTCTGGTCGTCACTACACATGTAAATATCGTAACTTTTATTTTTCCAGTGGTATGCTTGAATTTTGTCAGGAAGCGCGATGGTCCAGATTTCAGCAAAGTCAAAATGAAAGACAATGCTCTCGCGTAGCATGCACTGCTTTTCATCGTAGATCGCTTTATCTTTAGTTTGTAGGATATGGCTGTGAAATATCCAACTTTCAACCGATACTTGAACGACTTTTAGGAAGGTCTCAGTATGAAATGTTTTTTCACAAGGTTGGCTCCCATGTTGTAATCACAATCTCTTCATTTTCTGGGATATAAACTTCCTCGAGTGTAAGGGACTGGCCTTTTTGGCAGTGATTACAGTCTCCTTGAAGACACAGACTTGT